GGAAAGGGCCCCCCCCACCCATTGGGCCAGCGTCGATCGTCGCAGGTGCCTGGCTGAGCTAGGGGCCGTCACTCACCGACGGAGGGGGGCGAGAACCCAGGGCAGTTGACTTCATCGCTCCCGTCTGGGCAGTCGTGCCAGCCGTCACACACCGACTCCAGCGCCTGGCACTCCCCCGTTCCGCAGGAGAACTCCAAGGAGCTGCACGTTTCTGGGCAGAGGAGCGAGAGAGACGTTGGGACCCGCAGGTAGTCGCCCACGTACGGCCATGGGGCGACGGTCACTGCTCGGAGATGGGCAACCCCGCTGCCCAGCTGCAGAGAGCCCGGGGCAGCAAGGAGGGTGCGTTTCAGAGCCAGGGACCTACTTTCCGTGGCGTTGCGGGCACGGTAGGTGGCAAAGAACCCGTCGTCTGCCACGCCCTCGTCTGCCACGAACAGGACGGTCATGACGTGCCGGGAGGAGGTCAGGACGGGTGGCAGCTGGGAGCCGCAGAACCTGTCGGGAGAGGAAATGTGATTGATGGCCAGGGGGCTGAGCAGGGGAGGGGGGGGGAGGGGAATAAGAGAGAAAGAGAGATGGAGACGGGGATGGACGGTGTGTGGGAAGCTGTGGCCGGCCCGTTCCAAATGCCTCCAGATCTGTATGCCTCCCCCCCACGTGGTATCGACTCTCATTTTTCAGTCTAGTTTCTGCCCCTGTTGCCTAGTGGGCAGAGCACTGGGCTGGCACTTGGCAGCCCTGGGGCGCTTTCTCAGCTGTGCCACCAGCCTGCCTTGGGCAAGTCACTTATCCCCATTTCACACAGAGGATGCAGCAGGACCAGAGGCTGGGTCTGGCAGGGGAAGGGCCTGGCTCTCTCCAGTGCTGGCAAGGGAGGCATTCAGTCGGGGCAGAGAGAGGTGCCTCTTCCCCCCTTCCCCAGGAGGGGGCTTTGCAAGCTGCCCTGCTCAGGGAGTCCTGCCCTCCCCATCCTGTCAGTCTCCTAGGCCCAGCTGTGGCTGCTGGGCGCCGGGTGCCTGTACCTGCCCAGGAGGCTGGGGGGGTCCGTGCCGGCGCTGTCGTGCACCTCCACAAAGTCGAAGGTGCAGTCCTCCTGCCACTCCAGGCTGAAGTTGTGGAACTGCAGGTCGATCACGTGGCCCCCCGGCACGGAGATCTGCCAGAGACACAGCTGGCAGAGAGCAATGCCCGTGAGCCTGCGCCAGACACCCCTGCTCCACCCTGGCTGGGCAACTGCCAGCAGGGGGCAGGCCGGCGGGGACGGCATGGGAATGACTTCGTGATATTTTGAATGAGTCGTGTGCGTGCCTCAGTTTCCCCCAGGTGTGGCTGACACCTCGCTGCCCGGAGCCCTGTGCCCATGGAGAGGCCCAGAAGACAACGGCTGCTCCAGTCCCATGGACATTTGGCAGGAGGGTCCCTTTCCCTCCGGGGGTGTGAACAAGGACAAAGGACCGAGCAGCGGCCGGGTGGGGTGGGCTAGTGGGGGGTACTGGG